CGCCTGCATTTTGCAAATAGTCCATCAGTGGTTTCCATTCTTTAAGGTAATAATTATTTGAATTTCCTTTTAATAAACAAGACCATTTATCATTTTCTGCCATTAATTGTCTAGCAATCTTGATCATTTGTTTTTCTCTCAAGCTGGTTTGCTTTATATATTTTCTTAATATGCCTGTTTCTTGGGACTTGGTCTTTGGCTATAAAATTGATAAAAATCAATCAAGGTTCTATCACCACTATGACTATTATGATCTGGTGCTTCCCATTATTCTCAATCTCCAGCAAAACTATAATTATATAAACAGCAAGTGAACGCAGTGCAAATGTTCATTTAAAAGATGTTGGAGGGAAAGAAGAGAAAAACGAAAGAAAAACCGTTTGGGCGAGGTTCAGGCAAGGTAGATGAAAGGTGAGGTGATCCAGAAGCTCTTAAAGATCTTAACAGGAGATGGCAGAGGGGAGAGTTCAGCCAAGACCCAACGTGAGGAATGGATAGCAACTGACAAGGAAAGCTGGTTTGCCAAAAACAAAACTTTCAACATGGCTTGCCACTAAGCAGTGCCTTGTTGTAGACACCGTGGGGAAGAGTTGTGCTAGTCTACCGTGGCAAAAAATCAAGAGGAATCTGGTAGCCCCTTTTCCAACTCACACACTTTATCCAAAGGCAGAAGCTTTCATGAACTGCAGGTCGTTTCATGAGATGCATAAAGTGGCTAAATTGGTAATAAACATTAAGAGCAAAATAGATCTCAATACATTACTTGTAAAAAGTTCAGAAAGAGCTTGCATTTTGTCCAAAGGCATCCGTTTTACAAGCTCTGTAGCTCACTCCGGGCATCGGATGATGCAAGCCGCAGCCCACAAAAGCTGATGCCTTTGAATAACACGGGTCAGAAAAAGTGCTACCAACGGACATTCAACTGAGACCGGAAATCTTTTTATTAGGGATGATGGACATACGCTTAGAAAAAACACATGCTACTCTACTTCTCTATACAACAACGGCCGTGAGATGGCTTCTGGCTCAACGTTGGAAAGACCAGGCACTACCTACGGTTGAGGAACGGAGAGTCGAGCTGTCGGAATTAGCAGGGAAGGTGAAACTGACGGCGATTATAAAAGAAAAAACTGATAAAATTTAAGAAAGGCTGGAAGCCGTTAATTGATTGTTTGTATGAAACTGAACATAGTCAAATTGTGACATACGCTTTCGATGATTAGCTACAACCACAGACTATCGGGAAAAGTAGAAGCTATAATATAAAGTGAAACAAGGGTTGTATGAAAGGTTTTTTTGTATATATCCTTGGCAAAAGAAGTCGGAAGTCCATATATGTTTGTATTTTTTCTTCTGTCGTTTTTCTCTTTCTCTATTTTCTAATCTACATTTCTACTATTTTCCTCCTTTTGCAATTCTTCTCATACTTTTATTGTAAACTTTTTTCTTTCATTTTTAGTTTGTATATTATGAAAAATAAAAATAATTGGAAACAGACCACACTCATACACCAGGTATGACCCCCCCCCAAAAAAAGAGTTATACCAGACTCCTTCTGATTTTAAGTTGCGCCTCTAATATTTCTGTTCCAAACTAAAAATATGTCTCCGTATCAACTCACTGGACTGACTGAAGAGAAGCCCATGTCGGTAAATATCTGGTGCCAGAAGGAGAAATCCTGGGAGAGGAAGCGCATGCTAGGAGGAAAAATAAAACAAGGATTTTGGAACAGAACAGGCAAGCCGAAGTTTCCACCACCATCAAAAATGGACACAAAGCTTTTGCAAGGCTCACAACATCCTTCCAGCTTCTTATCCTGCCTCCCCAACTGAGCCCAAAGTTTTGGCCCCGCCTACTGAGTGATGTCACTGGGGATTCCCCTGTGGCCCCTGAAGGCTGAAATAATGTCCTTAACGAATTCTTTAAAGCATGCCTTCCCTCCCAGGGCAGAACCTTTGCTCACCTCATTTTAGAAGGTTGCTACATGGAGAAGACACCCACATTTGGGAATGGAAGCAGCATCAGCTTTGATCTATGATCAGAGCAGAGCTGGGGGTTAGCTAGAACAGTGTTTCTCAAATTCGGCAACTTTAAGATCTGTGGACTTCAACTCCCAGAATTCCCCAGCCAGCCTTGCCATGGGAGTTGAAGTCCACACATCTTAAAGTTGCTGAGGTTGAGAAACACTGCAGCAACCTGACATTTGGGGAAAACCACTTAATTCCTGCAAACTGAAACCAGATAAAAGGACTGTGGGCACTTACGTTGTAGAAAAGAGCTTCCTTGGAGTGTTTTCCAAACTTCTTATAGAGGGTTTCCTGGAAGATCCCCATCCTGGCTGACATGAGGAGGGCAAAGGTCAAGGCCGCAATTCCTAAAACACAACCGTTGAGACCAACATTGTGGATTTGCCCTCCAGCAGAAGATCTCCAGGGCCGGATGGGCACTCAAGATCTGCAGAGACTCTTTGGCTAAAAGAAAGATCTCCTCAAACTCAGGTTTGACTCCTGCTGACCATGTAAATACATCCGCCTAGTTTTCATAGCAACAATACAGATGTGGTTTGCAACTGCCTTATTCCAGGACATTTTTCAACTTCCCAGTTTAGATTATAGCCCTGGCATGTCCTAGTGATCTCCCACCCATCTATTAACCTCATCTTAGTATTTAGGGAACCAGCCAAGGTTGGTTAAGCATTGCCACCCAGCAAAAACAAACTTAAGGGACCCATGGACATATATTCTTGAACTGCACCATTCAAGACTGCCTGAAAACACATTCTTGGCCCTGTCTGTGCACAGCATTGAATGGCCTGCATTAATGCCACCATCAGCCCACTGTCCTCCTAAATGATCCAGATGAGCTTAGGAAAGGCATGGCAGGGAAAATATTTGCACTAGTATGATTAACCACCTCTTGAATCTGTTGTGTAGGCGGAGGGAGGAACCACATCACATCTTTAATCAGAGCTGGCAAACTACAAAAAGTAGGTGGCCACAGAACAAAGAGGAGAAGGCCAAGGCACAAATTACATTGGATTTAATATGAAGTTCAAATTAATCAAATGCAACTGAAATGATTACTCCTCAGGTATTCTGGAATCCCCACCCTTCCTTCTGCCACCCTGAAAATTAATACTGCGGTGGTAACTTTTGGAGAACCTTCAATCCGTCCAAGAGTCCATTCATTTCAATTCGTAGAGTTTGGTTTGGAAACTGGGCTCCGCTTTGTTTCCCCCTCCCCAACCCCATCTGCTCAGAAGAGGGTTACCGTGGGGGGCAGTTACAGACCTAGCAGCCACCAGAAAAAGGCAGACACGCTTTCCTCGTCTTCACTCGTACTCGATACAGAACTCTAAAAGGGAAGGAAGGAAGGAAGGAAGGAAGGAAGGAAGGAAGGAAGGAAGGAAGGAAGGAAGGAAGGAAGGAAGGAAGGAA